ATATATACACTATAATATAAATGTAAGCATTCTTTTTTATAGCATTAGCATTGTCATTGATCCATTTGATCACAGAACTCTGTGACATGCTGAGGTACTTGGTCTTCAGAAGCAATCTTATAATTCACAGATTAATTTTTTATCACTACAGCATCAACAAAATGGAAGCACAGATGCATGCAGTTAAGATCAAGAGGTACAGTGTTTCGTGTGTCCAAACACACGTGGGTGTGCTTGTGAGCTGCCTGCCAACAACACTAACTTTTGGGGGGGGTACAGGAATCAAACTCAGGACGTTGCACTTTCGAGGCAGGCGTGGTGCCACTGAGCTAAATCCTGGCCCTCACACTAACTTTCGATACCTTTAAGGGTCTCATTTCTTGCCCATCCTCCTCACTGTATAGCCCAAATTCTGCTTGACTTTGTCCACTAACTGTAACTTGGCTCTTATCTGTCTTTCCCTTGCCCATGGTAGATATTATCATTTTTCATTCCCAGAAATGCAACTCTTATCTATTTTCTCTTTATCTATTTCAAGGCAACTGGTATTTTTGCAATATGTAAGTTTCTTTTTTACAAACTGAGAGAAACTCCTTCTCATGAGGAGTGTTCTGGGTCTCCAAGGAGAGTGGGAGGGAGGAGGGAAAGTCTGAGAGTGAGGACAGACCGAGAGCAGACACATGGAGCGGGGGGGAAGCGGACAGATGAACACGTAGATGTGCATTGGTAGGGAATGGAAAGGTTAAATAAATAGAAGACCGGATGGAGGAACATATAGCTGGACAGATATATGTGAGTAGGTGAAAAATATCTTTATCATTCGGTGCTGGGTACAGAAATTCCTCTGAGGAGGGTATCAGCATTTAAGAGAGTATCTTCATTACATCTCTAGGCCTACGAGAGGAAGCTCACAAACATGTCCAGGCAAAAAAATCTGAACTGCTTTGCTAAAAACTGGAAGAAAATGTGAACTTCTGATGTACAGACTAAAAGGAAGAATTCAAGGAGATGGCAGATAAATTGAAAAGAAAGCAGGTAGTCAGGAACTCAGGAGGCTGAGACATGAGTGTCACTGAGAGTTGAGGCCAGACTAGGCTACACAGTGAGTTCAAGGCCAGCCTGAACAACACAGTGAGACCCTGTCTCTAAATAAATACATATTTACCTACAAAAGTATGTGCAAACTCCAGTTTTGCTGGGCACAGTGGTGCCCACCTGTGATTTCAGCTTCTCAGTGGGATTTACATAGGATCAGGATTAGGCCAGCCTGGGCAACTTTTCATCAGTTGCCCAAATAATGTCCTTTACAGCAATAAATAAATAAATAAATCCAAGGTCTCACTGTGCATTTGGGTCCTCCAAGAATCACAGACTAATAATACAAAGCACCTGCAAAGAACAGGGACGAACAGGCAGAAAGAACTTAGAAGGTAAGACCTGAATTACAAGCCCACGCTAAATGGCAAAGGGCCCGGGAGACAGTGCTCTAACCCGCTCCCATTGTAGCCATAGCCCCGACCTTTGTTCAAACCCTGGCTTAGGAATGGAAGGCAATCTTGTACTGTTTGAAGTCCGGATCATGATTAACATGTAAGTTTACTGGTTCTAGACGATGAGATCAAATCTGTACCGTACATAGAGACCCCAAGTTAATTGTCAAACTGTTTGCTCATCCTGAATGTCTTGGTGGCCTTTGAAGCATCCTATAGGTATCTGTTAATCATTGATGTGTGACTGCCAAGTACATGACTGCTGACCACCAGCTCAAATCAGCAGACCATTAACCTTTGTCCCCTGCCTGCAAGCTTAGAAGGTTAATCCCCCCTTCACCCCCTATAAAAAGGACCTCAGCCCCTGAGCTGGTGCTTCTCTGAGCCAGCTACTTGGTTCCGAGAGGGCCGTCTGGCGAGACTAATAAAGGTCTGTTTACCATCTAGCCTGGTGTGTACCTTCCTGGGTGACTCTCGTTCCTCCATTGAGCTCCCAGAGCCTCACTGAGCTATAAGACTCAGCATCGTGAAGGCCTTTTCGGCTGTTCACGCCCCTCGGATTGGAAATGAGACTGTAAGTCTTACAAGAACAAAAGGTCTGACACTTCTAAGAGGGAAGACGGGGCCAGGAATCTAGCTCAGTGGTAGAGTGCTTGCCTAGCATGTGCAGGGTCCTCACTTGATCCCTAGCACCGAAGGAAAAAAGATTCAGAGGAGAGAAAAGGATCAAGAAAAAAAAGCTTCCAACTATAGCACCATTCTGAGAAAATCTTGGCTAGGCCAAAGTGTGGCCTTTAAGACTAAGCTGCGAATCCCACGTTGAAGGGGAAAGCCCAGTTCTGGTGTCCCTGCCACGTTCAGTCACTGGGAGTGTGTCCTGGAAACTTCAGGGGCGATCCACGAGGGCTGCAGGTGGAGACTGTCAATCAACTCTGCTCCACAGGAGGATTTCTGGAGGGAGACCCAAGCCAGCACCTCAGTGGCCACAACATATGTGGAGTACTCAGTTGCTACATTGCTTTTGTCTTCCTCAGTCTAGAATAATTCTTACTCTGTCCTTATCTTTCCCGACCTTGATATGTCTACTAATTCTAGGCGTGGCGGCACACACCTTTAACTAGCCCTCTGGGAGCAGGAAAATCACCAAGAGTTCAAGGCCAGCCTGGGCTACATAGTGAGTTAAGGGCTAGGCTACAGTGAGACCCTGCATCAAGAAGAAAAAAGAGAGACCCTACACACAAACATGGGTATAGCTATAGTGCGAGTTTCCCCAACATCTCCAAATACAATCCAACAGTGGGATTTTATTCTTATGCATTTTATTCTTCTTTCCACATTTACAACTCTCTTCCCTATCAGGGAGAAATCTCACACCTATTGTCCTAAATATACTGACTTACCTGTTCAAGTTCTCTGTTTGTAACTTAACCCCCAACTACCCAGCGACCTCTATTTAGGCTCTGACCAGTGTACTCTGACCATCTTGCTTGGCCACTTCCCTCCTCAGCCCCCAATGTTACAGTTTTGAATGGCTAAGTACTTCTTTTACTTTCAATTCAGGAAGGCTGGCACAAAATCATTTTCGGCTGCTAAAGACCCAAAGAGCCACAATGATCCTCCTGCCTCGGCCTCCTGAGCAATAGGATTAAGGACACGTACCACCATGCCCAGCTTCTGTTACTGATTTTATGTGTGTGCAGTACTAACAATGGAACCCAGGGCCTCATGCATACTAGGCAAGTGCTGTACTACTAGGCTACATCCAGCATTTTTTCTTTTTTTTAGGATGAGACATTCACTAAGTTGCCCAGGCTGGTAATCCTCTGTCTCAGCCTCATAAGTAGCTGGGACATGCATCATAAGTAGCTGCAGATATGTAGCACCTTGTGCAGCTTGTTACTGATTTTTAAACATCTATAGAAAACTAGGAAGGGAGGTATTCTCATTTTGGTACATCAGAAATTTCCCATAGATACTTGATAATGAAACATTGCCATTTCTACTGAAATCAGATTTGTGTTTTTATTAGAACCAATGCAATGACATAGGAAGTCGAAGTGAGAGGTAATACATGGTATAACCAAAATATGTGCTGAACTCCCATTTTATGGAGTTCTTGAAACATTAACCAAAGCAATTAGACAAGAGAAAGAAATAGAAAGGATAAGGATAGGAAAGGAAAAAGTTACATTATCTTTATTTGAAGATGATATAATCCCCTACAAAGAAGACCCAAAAAGATTCACCAAAAACTCTTAGAATTAATAATCAACTTCTGTAGCATAGCAGGATACAAAGTCAGCACTTAAAAATCAATAGCATTTCTGCACACCAGTAACAAACCCACTGAGAAACTAGGGAAACAATATCTTTCACAATAGCATCAAGAAAAATGAAATACTTGGGCATTAACCTAACCAAGGAAATGAAAGACCACTACAATGAAAACTGAAGTACTCTGAAAAAGGAGATCAAGGAGGATATCAGAAAATGGAAAGATATTCCTTATTCCTGGCTACACAGAAGCAATACAGTCAAAATGGCTATCCTTCCAAAACTGTTATACAGATTTAATACAATCCAAATCAAAATACCAATAGCACACCTCAAAGAACTAGAGAAAACAGTCCTAAAATTCATGTGGAACCAGAAAAGACCTAGAGTAGCAAAAGCAATTCTGGGCAACAAGGGCAAGGCAGGGGCCATCACAATCCCAGACTTAGAAGTTATACTACAAAGCTACAGTGATTAAAACAGCATGGTATTAGAAAAATAAATAAATAAAACAAAAACAGATGTGTGGATCAATGAAACAGAATGAGGCTATGGACACAACTCCAGGCACACTCATCTACCTTATCTTTGACAAAGAGACCCTTTTGCTGGAGGAAAGATAGTCTCTTTAACAAATTTTGCTGAGAAAACTGGCTATCCACATGCTAAAGACTGAATCTAAACCTATCGTTCATCATGCACTAAACTAAAATCAAAATGGGTCAAAGATCTAAATATTAAAACAGAAAAAAACTATTAAAACAATCAGCTAGAAGACAAAAGAGGTGAAACTCTTGAAGACTAGGTAGGCAAGACTTTCTGAACAGAACCCCATTGCACAAGAATACCCAGAATCCACAAATGGAATCATGGGGGCAGGGATTTTGCTCAGTGGCACTGCGCCTGCCTGGCAAGCACAAGGTTCTGAGTTTGA